TCCAATATTTTGGCCACTTGATGTGAAAAGCTGACTCATTTGGAAAGACCCTGATGTTGGGAAAGAATGAAGGCAGTTGGAGAAGGGGACAGAGGATGAGATGGTTAGATGGCATCACTGACTCAATGGACATGAATTTGGGTAAACTCTGGGAGCTGGTGATGGACAGAGAGGCCTGGTGTGCTGCAGTTCATGGGGTTGCAAAGAGTCAGACAGGACTGAGCAACTGAACTGAACTGATGTATCAGAATTCTCAAAGCCGCTTTAGTCGTAACAGCCCCAGACTGGAAACAGTCCTGATGCCCATGGACAGAAGAACAGGTGGCTAAGCATACACACCGAGGAAACTAGATCTGAAAGAGACACGTGCACCCCAATGTTCATCGCAGCACTGTTTATAGTTGCCAGGACATGGAAGCAACCTAGATGCCCATCAGCAGACGAATGGATAAGGAAGCTATGGTACATATATACCATGGAATATTACTCAGCCATTAAAAAAGAATTCATTTGAGTCAGTTCTAATGAGATGGATGAAACTGGAGCCCATTATACAGAATGAAGTAAGCCAGAAAGATAAAGACCAATACAGTATACTAACGCATATATATGGAATTTTAAAAGATGGTAACAATAACCCAATACGCAATACAGAAACAGAGACACAGATGTACAGAACAGACTTTGGGACTCTGGGGGAGAAGGTGAGGGTGGGATGTTCAGAGAGAACAGCATCGAAACATGTATATTATCAAGGGTGAAACAGATCACCAGCCCAGGTTGGATGCATGAGACAAGTGCTCAGGGCTGGTGCCCTGGGAAGACCCAGAGGGATGGGATGGGGAGGGAGGCGGGAGGGGGGATAGGGATGGGAAACACATGTAAATCCATGGCTGATTCATGTCAATGTATGGCAAAAACCACTACAATATTATAAAGTAATTAGCCTCCAACTAATAAAAATAAATGAAAAAAAAAATACATCATCAAGAACATGAGAAAGTATGCAGCCAAGAAAGGAAGATGTGGAAAGTGGGATCTTACAAAGAAAAAGTCTTCTATAAAACAACTGCCTTCAAGTCAAGTCAGTAATAAAATTCATACATAACAAAAAAAAAAAGAAGAACAGGTGGATAGATTGTGCTGTATTTTACAGCAAGAATAATAAATGATCTCAACTACACACAACTCCATGCCAGACCTCAAAGAGAACAAACTGTTATGATTCACTTGATACAAGTTTCAATACAGGCAAAGGCATCCAATGGTGTTAGAAGTCAAGACAGGCATTATCCTGGGTGGACTCAGGGAGGGGGCATCTATGATTATGCTAACACTCTGTTTCTTGAGCTTCATGCCATGACACATGTGTGTTTGCCTCGTGCATCTAAGTTTTTGCACTTTCTGATATCTAAGCTATACTTGGACAAAATTTATCAAAAGGGGAAAAAACGGGAAAAGAAATGCAAGGGACTTTCCTGGTGGTCCACTGGCTGGGTCCACACTCCCAATGCAGGGGGCCCGGGTCCAATCCTTGGTCAGGGAACTAGATCCCACAAGCCGCAGCTAAGAGTTAGCATGCCTCAACTAAAGATCCCATGTGCTGCAACTAAGACCCCGTGCAGCCAAATAATTATTTTAAAAAAGAAATCCAAGGGCATGTTCAGCAATTCCAATTCTAGGAAATTATTCTTGCATGTGGACAGACAATGCGTGGATGATGTCCCGGAAAACTGGAAATAGCCTAAATTCCCTGGTGATTTAAGCAGGAGTGGTTAAGTACAACAGCCGTATAACGGAATAGTTACTTAACCATGATAAAACACAAGGGTTATCTTTGTGTACAGACATGCAACAGCCTCACAGACGCATTATGAAATCAGCCAGCAAGATTCAGCAGGTGGGTAGATCATTACCCTCTGTGTAAAAGTATTTCTGTATATACACAGATTCTGGGAGGACCCACGAGAAGTGGTGGGAGTCTAGCTGGTGGCGACATGCTCTGCTGTATACAGGAGGCCCAGTCTGCCTGCTGGACTGCGCTCTCCCCTAGACAGTGTGGGGCCTGGTGCCAATGAGGGATTTGGTGATGGCTCAGAGTGAATGACTTGTGCCTGTCTTCAGTTTATAATCATGTCAATATTGCACTGACTATAAGAAGGACCAGAGTGTGGGGTCTGGCAGCAACCTCAGCTTGGGGTGAGTGTGTGTGTGTGTGTGTGTGCACGTGCATGCTCGTGCACGTGTGTGCGGGGATGTATACAAAGGCTTCATGGAAAAGCAGTAACTGGGTAAAGGTGGTGGAGAAAGGAGGAGGGACGAGCATAAGACCTGTCCGTCTGTCACATGGACACATATAGGAAGGACAATGCCTTATGCCTGCAGAGCCCTGAGCCAGCCTGCTGTCCAGGGAGCAGAAACTGAGCTGCTGGTGAGAGGAGCTGCTACTGTAGATTTCCAGAGGGCTGCCGCCACCTCCTCTTCTACAGTGACACAGCCAGCCATGTGGCCTGGCCACACTGGCAGAGCTGGCGTTTGCATCCAGGTCTGACTTCAAAATCCTGCACTTAGCACCTGGCTGAGCTGACTTGCCATTCAGAGGTCAAGAAGGGCTTCACTGAGGAGTCACACTGAAGTGTTAGAGAGTAAAAGTGGAGAAGGGAAGGGGTGTTCCATGCAGAGGGAATGCCACTTACAAAGTAGAAGAGAGTGACTTCATGTGGTGTAGGGGACATGGGACTCTGTACCGGGCCTATGGGTCAGGAGGGAAAAGGATTTGGGGAACTGGTTTGAATGGTGCAGGAAGCTCTGGCAGGGGCCTGGTTATGCAGACTCATGGAGTCCCACCTAAGGAGTAAGTCTCAGTCCTATAGCTCTTTGGATTCCAAACTGAGGGTTTCATAACATCTCTACTTCTGGAAGATCACTCTGGCAGTGAGATGAGAGGCAGGCTGCAGGCGATGAAGCTAAGGGCAGAGAGACCCACTGGGAAGCAGTGGAATAATTCAGGTGAAAAAAGGAGAAAAGATGGTGGCTTGAACCACAGCAGGAGTAGGCAATGGAGAGAAGTTAAGAGTTTGAGGGGTATTTAGGAAGAAGAACAACACAAAGTAACTGGCAGAAGAAAGCAAGTGTAGGTAAGGGAAGGGTCAAAGGTGACTCTCAGATTTCTGGATGAAGGAATGAGGTACCTGGTGGGTTTCCTTCCGGAGGTGAGAAATCCAGACTGTGGTAGAATGGAAATTCGGTTTCAAGGACATTGAATTAGACGTGTCTGCAGCATGTCCAAGGTTGGAGGGGGTGGGGGTGGGGGGATGGTGTTGGCCTTCATTCACTCATTCAACCAACGGTTACTGTGCTTGCACTTAACCTGGCACCGGAGGTTCACGATGAATCAGACAAGGTCCCTAACTACTTGGGAGGAGGGTTCCTTCTGGTCGAGAGACAGTTAACAAATAACTAAAGAAACAGAAAAGTTACAGGCCATGAAAAGTACTGGGAATGATCTGAAGATGAAATGGACAGAAGCCGGAGGCCAGCTTATGATCCCTCTGCCCAACAGAGCAGGCCTGTCGCGGAATAAGCTGGCCAGAACCCTTGGCCCCATCTGCTTACTTATCCGTACAAGCCGGAGGGCCTGGTGCTCTGGTGGCCTGTTCCTTAGGCTCAGGGATTCTTTTCCTAGGAGCCAGTCCCCACAGGGCAGGTTTCCTTTCCTTTCACCTGCTCTCAGCTTTTAGGGCCGAGGTTTCCTGACCGTGGCCTCTGTACCGTGAACTTTGCCAACCCATATCCGAGCTCAGCAAGCATGGGTCACGTGAGTGGATGAAAGGTGGTCTCATGCCTCGCTGCAGGCTGCGGGGGAGTACAAATAAACTCAGCCTGCTCTTTAGGAACTTTGAGCTGCCGAATGGATAAACCACACCTAAAGAGATACAGGAAACCGAAATGCTGGTGGGAGGTGGAGTAGGCGAAGGGAGCGGGAGTAGGGGTTGGGGATTGGCATCTCATTCAGGCCTGAAGACGTCCCAGAGTGGAGTGACGCTCACACCTGGTCTGGGGAAAATGGGTTTTACCAGGTTACTTTTGGGTGGGCATCCGTCTTGCCCTCAATTCCCCACTCCCCCTGAACTAAGCGGAAGCTGCAGCACGGAGCTGCCTGGAGACGGGGGACGGGGGGAGGGTGGCGCGTCCAGCAGACACAGGTCTAGAAGCTTGGGCTCTGGACATCTGCGGCAAAGAGCAGATGCAGGAAACGTAACCTGGGGCTCAAGAAAGCAAAATCTGGGTAGAGGCCTCTAGGTGAGCCGCCTCCACTGTGCGGATTCACTCGGTGGGGACCTGCGTTCTAGCAGGCTGCGGGCAGTGCCCCCCCCCCCACGCCTTTAAGCGCAGTCCTTCTCCCTAGCCAACTCCTTAGGCTCAGGGACTGCCCCGGTCCCAGCTGTGCGGTCAGTTCCCAGCGCCTGGCCGCCCGGCGAGCAGCCGCAGCCGTGGCAGTCACATCGCATCGCATCGCATCGCATCGCATCGCAGCGGCGCCGCCGCCGCCGCCAGGACCTTTCCCCTACTTTCCAGGGCCTCAGGCCCCGCCCCGTCGCCGCGACCAAAACACGTGCCGCGTCCCGCCCTGCCCGATCACGCCGCGGCCAGGCTCTGATCACGCGGCCCGGCCCGGCGCCGATTGGCCGGCGGCGAACGGGCCGGGCGCGGATTGGTTGCCGCCCCTCGCGGCCCCGCCCCCTCCGGGGCGGGGCGTGTTTTGGTTCGCCTCCGCGCTCCGCCCCCGCGCCGCTCCAGCCCCGGCCCGGGCCCCGGCCCCTCCCCGCCCCCGCCGCGAGGGCCGCGCCAGGGCAGAGACGCACGGGCGGGCGGAGGCGCGCGCCGGCCGCCGGTGCTCCGGGTGGTCTCCACCGCCGCCCGCCGCGCACGTGCGGCAGCTGCCGAACCCCCGAACTCCTGCCTCGCGGGCGCTTTGTTGCCTCCGGGCCGCCGGCACCATGCACGCGCCGGGCTCCGCGGGCCCGGGCGACGCGTCGCGCGTGGTGAGTGGCCACCCATCGGCGCGAGGGGCGAGGCGGGGACGCGAGGCCTTGTGCGGGCCCGCCGAGTGGAGGAGGGCCCGGGGCCTCGCCGCCGCCGCGCGCACACAGCTGGGAACCCCGGCGGGTTCGGCCGCCGGGAGGGGCGGCGGCCGTGCGAGGCCGCGGCGGGAGGGCCGGGAAGGGGGCGTGTGCCTCGCGCCGCTCCACGCGCAGCTTTGTCCGGCGCTGCCGCAGCGACCCCGCCCTGCCAGCCCCCGGGTGCGGGGCTATTTCCAGCCATGACGTCACCAGATCCGGTGAGGAGGGGGACGTTGGGCGGGGCGCGACCGGCGGGAACGGGAGGCGAGGGCTGCGGGGCGCCGGGCGCCGGCGGAGGGGCGGGGAAATGCTGAGGGGCGGGGCGAGGGCTGCGGGGGCGGGGCGTCGGCGGAGGGGCTGGGACTGGGAACGCGGCCCGCAGGTGGTGAAAAGGCCGAGGGGCGGGGCAAAGCTGGCCGGAGGGTGGGGCGGGGAAGGGGGCGGGGCAATGCCGAGGGGGCGGAGCAAGGCATGAGCGGGCTGGGTGCTCTCCGAGGTGCGGGGACTGTGGGAACGCGGCCCGCCGGCGGTGAAAAGGCCGTTGGGGCGGGGCAACAGCTGGCGGGAAGGTGGAGCCGGGACGAGGGCTGCAGGGGGCGGGGTGCCGGAGGAGGGGCGGGGACTGTGGGAAGGCGGCCCGTAGGCGGTGGAAGGCCGAGGGGGCGGGGCAACAGCTGGCAGGAAGGTGGAGGTGGGGCGAGGGCTGGCGGGAAGGCTGCACGCGGGGGGCGGGGCGCCAGGCCTCTACCCCGACGGGTGCTACGGTCCAGTCCTGAGGGTCGCGCGGAGTTCGCTGGCTGCGCCTGGGGCCTAGTCGTCGAACCGCGCGGGCCGCTGAGGAGCCGAGAGAGAGGTCCGGGGGACCCGCACCGCCCTGTTCCTCCTCGCCAAGCAGGCGGCAGGCCCCACGTCTGTGAGTTTGCAGCTCCTTCCGAGGAGGCCCGGAGCGGCGGGGCCGAAGCTTCGGGCAGAAGCGGGGCCAGAGCGGCCTTTGTAAAAGGCAGCAGCGTTTCCTGGGTCCTGGCGGTCGGGTAGGGGGCAACCTGGGCAGGACAGGTGGAATATTGAGGCAAACTGACTAGAAACTCCAATATTTTGGCCACCTGATGCGAAGAACTGACTCATTGGAAAAGACTCTGGTGCTGGCAAAGATTGAAGGCAGAAGGAGAAGGGGACGACAGGGGATGAGATGGTTGGAAGACATCACCAGTGTGATGGACATGAGTTTGAGCAAGCTCGGGGAGTTGGTGGTGGACAGGGAGGCCTGGCATCCTGCATTCCATGAGGTCGCAAAGAGTCGGATATTGACCGAGCAACTGAAATGACTAGAAGTGTGTATCTTCCTAGATACACTAGAAGTGTGTATCCTTCTTCTTTGGGAAACAGATCCGTTCCAGTCGCTTCCTGCCCCTCTCTTGCTTAAAAAGACAGGGTGCTGCGCTGGAAGGCCCTCAGGCCCTGGGCTGGTGGCGGATCTTACACTTTCTTTCGTCTTCTCGCTGGCCTGGTGGCCTCAGAAGTGACTCGGTGCCCCTGGGTGTGGGGATGCCGAACAGCACAGGCTCTCCTGCCCCGAGCTCTGCTGAGCAATGGGTGCCCTGCCTGCTGTGGGTCCTCCAGGGTTGTCACAGACGCGTCTGCGGGGATCCTCGGGTGGCTTCGCCAGCCGTGACTCTCATCTCAGCCGACCTGAGCCATGGGTGTCTTTTCTCCTCGGCCGGGGACAGTTAGGTACTAAACAGGCTCACATCTCTAGAAATAAGTCTTATTATTCATTTTACTTACGGAAGACAGGAACTTAATCTTTGTTAAGCATCAGGGTTTCCTGTGAAAGCCACTGGCCAGCTGAGTTCATTTCTCCTCCTCCCTTTGGCAGAATGCTATCTTGGGGCTCGGTGGTCCTTGGGTGCTCTGTGGGCATCCTTCCTGAAAGCCAGTGCGCGTCCACGTGCTGCCGGTGGTGCTTGGTGGGCTGCCTTGCGCATCTCCATCCTGTCTGTCGGGGTGCCCCTCCCTGTGTTTCCAGGGACTGGGGAGCCATCCTGTTGTTCTGCCTTTAGGTTGACATCATGGACATATGTGAGTCAATCCTGGAGAGGAAGCGACACGACAGCGAGAGGTCCACATGCAGCATGTTGGAGCAGAATGATATGGAAGCTGTGGAGGCTCTTGTTTGCATGAGCTCCTGGGGTCAGAGATCCCAGAAAGCCGACCTTTTGAAGATCAGACCCCTCACACCTGTCTCTGACTCTGGGGATGTCACCACGTCAGTGCACGTGGACACGGCCCCACCCGAGCTACCAAAGGACTTCCATTCTCTATCAACTCTGGTAAGAGGGAAGGAGAGGAGTAATTATTGCAATGACTGAAGTACGTTCATTAAATGTGCTGAAGAGATCCTAGGTAGATTTGCCTGATGCTGGCTAGCAAGTTCATGTCCTCCCGCTGTGTGGGTCCAGAGGGTGAAAACTTCCTTTTTCTCTTGAAAATAGCTTTCTGTTGATGGTAGTTTGTAGCCATGGGGTGAAAATGTCCAGCGACTGAAACCTGCAGTTTCATGGGAGAAAGCGAAGTGTACTGATTTTCCTGGGAAACTGCAGGGCAGGGCTTCAGTTCCCCCAGATACCCCAGTCCAGGATCAGGATCGACTGCTGCAGCTGGGGAAGGCCTGTGCTCTGGTGCCAGGTGGCCTTTGTTAGCTGGATTGAAAGCCTGGACTCTCTGGCAGCCAGCTTCTTTCTTGGGTGAGTTGGGTGCAGTCAGGCACTGGTTTTGTTTTTTTTAACTTGCTACAACTATGAAGTTCCCGGGGAAAACTTGCTTGTCAACTTGGAGACGTTGGGCGCTGTCAGTTGCCAACAAAACTGAAGATTATAATCTGATTGTCCTGGGCTGGAAGCTTGTATTGAAAGGAGTGTGGAAAACTGACATGGAGGGATGAGAAGGAAATTGTGGGTAGTAGAGAGGGTTGTCCGGCTAGTGGGCCTCGCTACCCAGACAGGTCTGACTCTAGGGTGACGTGCCGGGCTACCTTGGGCCCCCCACGCCCCACACCCCACACAGTTCCTCTGGCCCAGCCCCCAATGCCTGGTCACCCCTGTGTCCACTTTCTTGTCCTTTCCATGTATGTCCACATGACAGACATCCAGGTCTTAGCTTACGCTGGTTCCTTCTTCTTTCTCCTCCTCCTCTACCCAGATACCACTTCTCCATCAAGCCTTTCTGCGCACACACACACCATACCACACACACACGCCCCCACCCACCTGGGTTGAGGTGCCCTGCCTCATGCTCTCAGAGTTATTTGGCATTGGAATTTTCCACTCAGAGGCTGAAAATAAGTGGGAATTGTTGCAGCAGGGGGTCTGTTACACAAAGAGAGGCTTGGTTTAGACAGAACCCCTGATTGGAACATGACCTTTTAGGGATCATTCAGTTAGGTTTTACTTTGCATTCAGTAGGCACAGGATACATGTGTGATTTATGGATAAGTGTGATGATTTCCACTAGAATTTTTAAAGGTTTTTTGAGAATCTAGAATTATCATGTAAAGCACTCATCTTGAACATAGATTTTTATCTCTCATTTGTAGTCCTAATATTTAAATTATCCATTTCTGTTGATGTGCGAGGCAAAGCATGGCATTGGTTATCTTACAACTGAGCAAATGGATGCCTTTGAGAGAGAGGGCAGGAAAAGGGGAGAAAGCTAGGAAGTAGAGCAGCTGATGTAGCCTTTGTATCCACTGGGTGCTACTGTGAGCAGACCTCGACCAGTCTTTTCTAGATACTTCTTTGTAAAGGCCTTGGGGAGACAACATCATCAAAGTAAGTTTCTTAAAATTTAACCAGAACAACCTTTTCACGTGGTAATTTTGTTTGTGTGTTTTTTTTAAGTGCATGACTCCTCCTCAGAGCCCTGACCTCCTGGAACCATTGACAGGGACAGTTGTTCCTTCGCAAGTAACTGCTTCCAAAGCCCCCGTGGTCATGGCTGTCCCCCCAGTCTCTGCTGGGGCTGCCAGAGTGCTGAGCAGGACGGCGGAGGGGGGCCTGCCTTGTCCGAAACCGGAGTTGCTGGAGTCAGCTGCCAGCCCGCCCTGCAGGGCCACGGTGACGGGTATCACTGGCCGTGCTGGCGGGAGTCCTGCTCCTGCCCACCACTCCTGTCCCACCGCCCAGACTCAAGAACACCAGCTTCCAGCTTGCACAGAAGGAGAAGCACAGTTCTTGGGGCACGTTGAAACTTTGCAGGACATGCACCTCACAGACAGTTTACTTAGCATGAACTCAGTGTCCTGTCAACCTTGCTTGCACAAGTCCAGTGGCCTGATCCCCGCCGATAAAGGCCAGCAGGCAGGGTGGCCCATTGCAGTTCAGACCTGCTCACCAAAGAGTTATGAAAACGACTTGGCAAGGAAAGCCACCCCTCTGATTTCCGTCCCCATTCCTAGTACCCCTGTCCTCTGCCAAATGATCCCTGTGATTGGACCCAGTGGCCTGTTACCAGCTGTTCTAAAGCCACCTCCCCAGGTGTCTGCGGGGCTTGTCAAGCCCGTCTTGCCCCACGCGGCTCCCGCGCCCCCACCTGTGTTCGTGGGACCGTCTGTGCCTCAGGGAACCGTGATGCTGCTTCTGCCCCAGGGGGCCCTTCCCCAGCCTGCCACGTGCTCAGCCGGCAGCATGCCTGTTGGGAACTCCAGGTACCTACCCCTTGCGCCTGCTCCAGTGTTCATTGCATCCAGTCAGAGCTGTGCCCCTCAGGTAGACTTTTCCCGAAGGAGGAACTATGTTTGCCACTTCCCAGGCTGCCGGAAAACCTACTTCAAAAGTTCCCACCTCAAGGCTCATCTCCGCACTCACACAGGTGAGTACTGCAGGGTAGGTAGGGCGTGGGGAGGTCAGATCCTGTGGTTAGTAAACACACATCCAGCCTTCTCTTAGTGGGAGCAAAGCTGGAACCCATTGGAGGAGGTAACCATTTTTATTTGGTTTTGAAAAGCCTTCATCGTCTTAGGGTGAATGTTAGTACATCTGTCAGTGGTTTTCCTAGAACCTTCCATCTGTAGTGTCATTCTCTGAACCTGTGATTGATAGGCTTTTAGGGTGAGGCTCACGCAGTCTCTTTCTCTTCATATTGCAGTGGACGCTTTTCTTTGCATTTTAGAAAATGTCTGTTCATGTTCACTAAACACTCTTATCAGTATGACTTAGCCTTACTGTGGGGAAAGAGCTCTCCAAAGTGTGGAAAATTCTAGAATATTCGAACTTTAAAGAAATTTCGGTCTTTTATTTTTGAAAATACATAGTTTTAACTCAGAAGTCACAGAAGAAAACTAACTGTGGTGACCTAGTGATCTCTCTACAGTCCTATTATTTTTTTTTTTTCATTTTTTGGTAATTTTTTTTTTCCATTAATTTTTATTAGTTGGAAGCTAATTACAATATTGTAGTGGTTTTTGCCATACATTGACATGAATTAGCCATGGATTTACATTTGTTCCCCATCCTGAGGGAGGCCTCCTGCCTCCCTCCCCATCCCATCCCTCTGGGTCTTCCCAGTGCACCAGCCCTGAGCACTTGTCTCATGCATCCAACCTGGGCTGGTGGTCTGTTTCACCCTTGATAGTATACTTGTTTCAATGCTGTTCTCTCAGAACATCCCACCCTCGCCTTCTCCCACAGAGTCCCAAAGTCTGTTCTATACATATGTGTCTCTTTTTCTGTTTTGCATATAGGATTATCATTACCATCTTTTCAAATTCCATATATATGAGTTAGTATACTGTATTGGTCTTTATCTTTCTGGTTTACTTCACTCTATATAATGGGCTCCAGTTTCATCCATCTCATTAGAACTGATTCAAATGAACTCTTTTTAGTGGCTGAGTAATATTCCATTGTGCATGTACCACAGCTTTCTTATCCATTCGTCTGCTGATGGGCATCTAGGTTGCTTCCATGTCCTGGCAATTATAAACAGTGCTGCGATGAACATTGGGGTACATGGGTCTCTTTCAATTCTGATTTCCTCAGTGTGTATGCCCAGCAGTGGGATTGCTGGGTCATATGGCAGTTCTATTTCCAGTTTTTTAAGGAATCTCCGCACTGTTCTCCATAGTGGCTGTACTAGTTTGCACTCCCACCAACAGTGTAAGAGGGTTCCCTTTTCTCCACACCCTCTCCAGCATTTATTGCTTGCAGACTTTTGGATAGCAGCCATTCTGACTGGCGTGTAATGGTACCTCATTGAGGTTTTGATTTGCATTTCTCTGATGAGTGATGTTGAGCATCTTTTCATGTGTTTTTTTGCCATCTGTATGTCTTCTTTGGAGAAATGTCTGTTTAGATCTTTGGCCCATTTTTTGATTGGGTCATTTATTTTTCTGGAATTGAGCTGCAGGAATTGCTTGTATATTTTTGAGATTAATTCTTTTTCTGTTGCTTCGTTTGCTATTGTTTTCTTCCAATCTGAGGGCTGTCTTTTCACCTTGCTTATAGTTTCCTTTGTTGTGCAAAAGCTTTTAAGTTTCATTAGGTCCCATTTGTTTATTTTTGCTTTTATTTCCAATATTCTGGGAGGTGGGTCATAGAGGATCCTGCTGTGATTTATGTCGGAGAGTGTTTTGCCTATGTTCTCCTGTATGAGTTTTATAGTTTCTGGTCTTACATTTAGATCCTTAATCCATTTTGAGTTTATTTTTGTGTATGGTGTTAGAAAGTGTTCTAGTTTCATTCTTTTACAGGTGGTTGACCAATTTTCCCAGCACCACTTGTTAAAGAGGTTGTCTTTTTTTTCCATTGTATATTCTTGCCTCTACAGTCCTGTTCATTCCATCCAGAAGGATTTTCAGCGGTGATGGAAAGTTTTCTGGTCATTAGGAGGGTAGCTACCAGTGACACACACTTGAAATGTGAACAGTGTGTCTGAGGAACCTAGTTTTACGTTTTCATAGAGTTTGCATTTATATAGCTACATGGCACTGGTGTGGAGAAGGAAATGGCAACCCACTCCAGTACTCTTGCCTGGAAAATCACATGATGAAGGAGCCTGGTGGGCTACAGTCCATGGGGTCACGAAGAGTTCCAACACGACTGAGCAACTTCACTTTCACTTTTCACTTTCATGCATCGGAGAAGGAAATGGCAACCCACTCCAGTGTTCTTGCCTGGAGAATCCCAGGGATGGAGGAGCCTGGTGGGCTGCTCTCTGTGGGGTCGCACAGAGTCAGACACGACTGAAGTGACTTAGCAGCAGCAGCAGCATGGTGCTGGTGGCTAACACGTTTACCTGGGGTGTGAGGTTGCTGGTAGATGGAACTTCTGTTTTTTGATTGATTTGGCCTGAGTGCCTCAGTGGCTGTCTTACTCTTTGACTTAGTGTCAGTTCTGTTTTCAAGGGTCCTGTCGCTAAATAGTCTGCTCACTAAACTCAGCTTACAAAGATTCACACACATTCATACATGAAAGCACAGTAAGAGGTCACAGGTTCTGTAGTCAAGATGTGTTTCATAAGTGCTCTTGATCATGGAATCTAGGTGTCTGCTGGTGGCCTGGGGGACGGCAGTGAATTGTGGAATATAGCTGAGGAAAAGCCGAACTGAAGAGAGTGGTTATGGCAGTTTACTCTGAGATGCATTTGAGGTAGAGCGGTTTGTAACTAGCACATTAAAAGTCTAACCGTGGTAGCTCCCACTTGCAGAATGAAGTTGCATCTGGAACGCAGGCCTTATAGGAGCTCTACCACCCTCCCCGCTGTGGAGGGGCTGTGTTCTTCAGGGATGAGCCCCACACCTCGCCCATGAAGAAGTTGCCTCTCTGGCTTCACCTTCTCTCTGCAGCCCCACAATGCCCCTGTCCACCCTCTGCCCATCTCTCCTTACTGAAAACCCTGTAAGAGCCCGTTCTTAAAGTATCTCCTCATCTCTCCTCCTTTATTTGCCCCTAGTGGTTTGCTGAGTTTTTCACCACGTTCTCCCTGTGTGTTTTAGTTACTTGTATACTTGTCTGATCTCACTGAATACACACTCGGTGTCTGTCACAGGAGCCTGACTCTAGTGAGTCATGATCGATTATCGGTGCTGCAGGGTCAGTGTCAACAGGTATCTCTGAGGGGCTCCTTGACCTGCAAGCTCTACTTCGCACGTGTCAGTGAGCTTCACATACTGAGGTGGCCTCAGATCCCCTCCAAACACAGATTCCACATCTGGGGGTGCCGTGGGATGATGTCTTACTGTTCATTCGGTCAGCTTCCCTTGGTAGAAATACTGACAGGATGGCATGAAACAAGGTGATCAAGCAAGCTGTCTTCAGGTTTCCCAAAGTTCTCAAGTGTCAGTAACCATAAAGGTTCTGAAGAATCAAGTTCCGGTGCTACTTTGTACACACTGAATTGGAGTTTTTGTAATAAACAGAAACCTTGGCTAAGTTTACATTAGATAAGATGATTTTTCACTGTACCAACCTGAAAATGTTTTCCTTAGCATAAGGTAGAGTAGGCAAAGGCTACATTTTTGCTAAGTTGAAAACATGGGACACTTTATAAATCCCACACCAAAGGGTTGTCTCTCTCCAACATCTGGCCACCTGGTACGCTGCCACCGGTGGTGGTTTCTGGAAACGGGTAACCTTATGATTTCAACACGGGGTCTTTGAAATCCAAGAAGTGTGAGCCCTTTTTCTTAGAGTGGTTCATAAAAACCACTGGGATGCTGAATTTTCCTGTTAAATCTGCTTTGAAAATACCAAATATTTAGTTAATGTCTCTTCAGCACTCATTCACTCAGAACCATTTATTCACCACCTGTCATACAAACTGATGTGCCCGGGGGCTAAACTACATAGATGGATGAACTAGACAAGTCATCAACCTTCTAGAAGGAAGGCCATGACAGCATGCAACAGCATTTAACATATCTGTTCACAAGGTTGCACAAGCAGTGTATGATGGTCACAGCCTGGTCAAGGTGAGGGCTTCGGGAGGCAGGAAAGGGTGCACTCCTGCTGGCTGGAAAGGCCCAGAAGGACTTTGCAGACAGGTCCTCCCTGGCTTGTCTCCGTACCTCCAGGGAGACACAGTATATATAGGCGGGACTCCTGCCAGGTGCTCTGAAATGAAGTGAATGACAGAAGCATGAGGCTTGTGACAATAAGAAGTTAGCTATTAGAATTCTAACCAGTCTTGTAATTAACCTCATCATCAGTGTAATAACAGACATGAAGATGGATTTAATGATTCTGTGAAGTCGTGAAGGTCCTGAGAAGGTTTTTTTTTTAAAGATGTGCAGCTTCAGAGAGCAAAGGAATTCTTCTTTTATTTTTTTTTAGGAATTGTTTTCAAGAATCTTCCTCCTACCCCAAGTTCACAGTCAAAGATTTTAATTTGAAAACATGGTATGGCATCCCTTATATGTGGAATCTGAAAAGAAATGATACAAATGAACTTACTTACGAACCAGAAAGAGACTTAGAAACGAACATGGTTGCCAGGGGGACGGAATGGTTAGGGAGTTTGGGATGGACATGTACACACTGCTCTGTTCAGAATGCATGACCACCAGGGTCCTACTGGACAGCACAGGGAACTCTGCTCAGTTATGTGGCAGCCTGGATGGGAGGGCAGTTTGGGGGAGAATGGATAAATGTATATGTATGACTGAGTCCCTTTGCTGTTCACCTGAAACTGTCACAGCATTAATTGGCTGCACCCCAATGCAAAATAGAAAGTTCAAAGATAACAATAAAGATTAGATTAATTCAGCATCCTGGGGCCCTGACATGTTGCGTCTTAGGTGTGGCAGGAAGAAACACCTCTTGGACAATTTCTTGACTTCCAAATAACCTATTACCAGAATAATAGGTATTACTTGTCTCTTAGGTTTTCATGAACAGAATTTTAAAACGACATGACTTAACGTGTCCATTAAGGTGCCAGGCATTTACGTTTCTCATATGTTTTCTCGCCCCTCAGGAGAGAAGCCTTTCAGCTGCAGCTGGGACGGCTGTGACAAGAAATTTGCTCGTTCAGATGAACTCTCTCGCCACCGCAGAACTCACACTGGGGAGAAGAAGTTCGTGTGCCCAGTGTGTGACCGGCGTTTCATGCGCAGCGACCACCTGACGAAACACGCCCGGCGCCACGTGGCCACCAAGAGGGTCCCCGGCTGGCAGGCAGCGTTCGGCAGGCTGAACAGAGCGGCCTCCACAGAGGACCCTGGGGGCCCGCCGGAGCGTGTGCCGGCCTCCGCCTGAAAGGGCTGCGGGGGGGTAATGGATGGGAATTTTCCAAAGCCTTTTTTTTTATTTTTCAGGAATCATGGAAGTGATGGTTTTCTCTCCAAAAACAACAGCAAAAAGTTGTCTTGAGGGCCAGGGGAGCTGGTTCTGATGAACGTTATGTTAACTTGTCTTTTTTTAGGTTGGGACCCTGTTAAGTATCTTTTGTAGTTTCAGAAGTTCTTTTAAGGAAATGGAAGAAAATTTGGTAATCTAAATCACCAGCATTCAGACACACAGTTTGGCAATAAATTTTGCAAAATTTGGATTTTTACAACCTTCCTATTCCTGTTTTGTAGGATTGAGACAGGGTACTAATTTTTATAATGTTTTTTATAAAAAAGATACCTATATTGTTGGTTCTCAGATCACCGATTTCTATATAGATGATTTTACAGTCTTCTTTTCAGTGTTTAACATTTTTATAGTAACCCTGCTTTTGGTAAAGTTGGCACATTATTCAGGCAAAAAAAAAAATTTATAGCTCTGCAATCAGGCTTTTTAGATCTACGAGGTTTTAAAATCAGAACTAGTTGAGTAGGGGCCTCTTAAAGAAATGGGTGCGGGGGAAAACCTTTGCAGGCAGCTTCTTCCTAATACTCTCAAGGGAAATTCCAGACAAGAGTTTCTTTTAAGGCTTTATGTAGCCCAAGGAATTAGAATTTTCTTTAAGTAGAACTTAGTCACCTGTGTCCGTGGTGTGACTTGTGAAGATTGTGCCCCAGAGATGAGCTTAAAATAATCAATAGATATCCAGTGAGCAGGGAGCTGCTGTAGCATCTAAGTGTCTGTGGTCAATTCACAGTCCCTTGTCTGTACCTCAGACACCAAGAAAAGATGACTTAAGCACTCAGACCCAGCTGCTCTGTCCCTTTGACTTCCTTTGCTGTGGCCTTACCCAAGTGTTTTGTGGGTAGAATCACTTCTTAGAGAAAAAGATGTCCTTAGTTGTTGGAGGAACTTTCCATCAAAGGAAAGCTTATGTGAGGTGAAGTAGCTGTGTGTGCGGTCTAGCTGCCGTGTTCCAATTCCTTTGTTTATTAAGTATTGGTGATGAGGAATGTTAGTAACACGGAACAGCAATAATCCTACCAAGCTGTCCTTTCATTCACATTGTTGGAAGGGAGTTGTTTTGATCAAACAGAACAGCACTTGGAATGGGGTATTTTGCCTGGAGAAGAGGCCACGGGCCTCACTGAAGCCGTGAGCACAGGTCCCAGCATTGTAGAGGCTGCACGCTGGTGTCCAGGAAGCTGCTGAGACTGCCTCCACTGGGCAGCCTTGGGAACTCAGGCAAGAGGAGGTGTGAGGACCATGGCAGTGCCGCTCTGCCCTGTGAGCCTGGGAATGGTTTTTGTCATGCTGTATGTAATCAGATTCTGTCTTTGCTGCTTATTTATTTGCATTTGCCTTTATTAAAATGATGGTAAGGTGAAATATTGAGTAAGTACAATTAGGCTTTGTGTTCAGGTCCTTTTTAGTCTTGATAGCACTCACCCGGTCATTCATTGTATGTCAGTTGATACCCACTAAGTTACCCTTTAGTATCAACCGCTGATTGACATACAGGTCTGTAAGTGCTGGCTGTGTTTCAGAGGCTTCGTGTCTTTGATCACTTCTATAGCTAAGTATTCCTACTGGTCGTGAGACATACTGTAGTTACAAGAGAACCAGAATTCAATGTACATAGCTCGTGTTTCCCCACCACCCCATCCTTTCTCCCACTCATGCCCTAGATCAGCATAAACATTGCTGTGTATGCTGTAAATGGCATTAAATTCGGATATTTTTCATAACTAACACAAAATAATATTGGTCTGACCAAGGTTCTGGTGCATAATAAGTCTCTTGAGTGGTTGCTTGTCATACTGAATGAAGTTCATTCTCTGAACAGTGTTGTTTTTGAAGAATAGATGTGCAAAAAAGGAAAAAAGGTTTTGATTTACACTTCCATTTCCTGATGAGACTTTGAAATACCTTCTGTAAACATTTTGGGCCCTCTGTTGTTGATGGAATGATTGCAAGTTGGGAAACCGCTTCACCTGAAAAACACAACGTGAGAACCGGAGCCTCGCAGGGCGTGTTCAGCATGAGGTCCCTCCATGCGCCAGGGCGTCGGAGGAGCACGCTGGAGGCACGGCCCCTAGTGCACTTTACTGCCCAAGCAATTTTGCTTGTTCTTTTTTGACTTTGAGCCTTTTAAAGTAGTTTCAATGATAAAATTTTAAATGTTTCAGAATTATGTTTTATGTAACAGACTTTGACATATTATTTAAATGAATATGTGTGATATAACTCTTTTCTTTGAATCATATAAAACTCTTTCGATTTGCAAACTGGACCTGTGTCCTGAACTGTGATGTACTGTTTCACTGTACTGTAATGTACCCAGTGCCTGACTACTACCCTCCATCTTTGTTTTCTGGGATTCTGTTCGGCCTTCAGGTTCTTCGGAGGATTCTTTCTGAAAGAAATCATGTGAAGAGGCAGTTTCCATGTTGGCCGCTCTGACATCGGGACTGGTCTTGGCAGAACAGGACCATCGGTGCCGGGTAACCCACGACCCTTGTCCTCAGGCTCTCTGTGTGAAGAGTGGGGATAGGAGGCAGTCGCGTCCCGCCCTCCCCCCCACCCCCAGCCCAGGCTTCCAAAGAACATCCAGGAGCCATAGCCTTCACGCCTGCTACTGGAGTCAGTTCAGTTCAGTCACTCAGTCGTGTCTGACTCTTTGCGACCCCATGGACTGCATCATGCCAGGCCTCCCTGTCCATCACCAACTCCCGGAGTTTACTCATGTCCATTGAGTCGGTGATGCCATCCAACCATCTCATCCTCTCTCGTCCCCTTCTCTTCCCGCCTTCAATCTTTCCCAGCATCAGGGTCTTTCCTAATGAGTCAGTTCTTTGCATCAGGTGGCCAAAGGGTTGGAGTTTCAGCTTCAGCATCAGTCCTTCCAATGAATATTCAGGACTGATTTCCTTTAGGATGTACTGGCTGGATCTCCTGCAGTTAAAGGGACCCTCTCAAGAGTCTTCTCCAACACCACAGTTCAAAAGCATCAATTCTTTGGCTCTCAGCTTTATGGTCCAACTCTCACATCCATACATCACTACTGGAAAAACCACATCTTTGACCAGACGGACCTTTGTTGGCAAAGTAATGTGAGTACGTTCTTGCTAAGCCACTGTGCTGGGGCTGTGTGTCCACACCCCACCAGAGGCGGCCCAGTGGCCTCGGTTCCTGGTCCTCTTCAGGCTCGTCTGTCAGCAGCCCTGGACAGGGTCGATGGCTCCCCTGCAAGCCACACCACCCTACTGTCCTCTTAACCTCACTGCTCCTCCTCTGTCTTCGTTCCTCTCCCTGACCCCTCTTGTACTCTCTTCACAACCTTGGTGATCTTTTCCAACCTTGTGATTTAGATCAAAATGATCTCTCTACCATAAAGACCCCCGCATTTTTGTCTCTCCTTTACACTTAATGCACCTGGCTTCAAATTCCTATATCCAGCTGTCTGCTTGATACCGGTCTAAGCAGCATTCCAACCTATAAATGATCAAACTCCTCAACTCCCCCTGCCCAGACACTTGCTTTTCTAACAGTTGACCCCACTGTCTTTAAAAATAATAGGAAGTCTATCCTTCTAGCTGTTCAGGTGCAAAACCTTGGAGCACCTGAGACAGTCCTGGGTGCAGATCTGACTCCATGTAGCTGTGTTTGGCTGAGAAAGATACTGGACCTTTAGTTTCCTTATTTATAAAGTGAAGACTAGGTAGAGAGCAGGGGCCTGTCTCAGGGTCTGGCACTTATATTTTGCACATAGAAGAAAAAGCCCTAGTTGTTTACCAAAAGCAACCAGGGATCCTTGAAGGGTAACTGCTTGGAGCATGGATATAACAGAATGGGCTTAAAGTATTCTGTTGCCATCTGCCGTCAAGGGTGTCAGGGACTGCTAAATGGCACAGGGCTCCCACTGGCCAAGCTGTGACAGTTTAAAGATGAACATAATAGTAATAGGAATTTCACACTTCTACCCAAGATGGAGTTACAGGAAAAGCCAAATATACTCTCACACCCAAAATAAAGTTATCAAATGAGAGTTTTCTAGGAACTAGACCTTAGGTCATGAAAGACAGTGACCCAGAGAGACAGGATGTAAATGGGGTGCACCCTGTAACTGCCCAGATTTGCGGCTTTGAGGAAATTGCCAGACTGTGATGCAGGGACAGGAACTCATGAGAAACCCAGCAGAGTCCCCAGGCTGAGCAGATGGAGCTGAGGGTCCAGGGATGCCAAGGTGATGGGGTGTGGGGCAGGGTGCCAAAGTAGAGAAACGGCCCAGAAAACCCAGGAGATCTACAGAGGGTGTGTCTAGTGGGGAGGAGAACACCTTGACACCGAAGGCAAATCGTGTGCACAGGGGTGCGTGTCTCCTCTGGGCTGGAGTCATTACTTGGATCACTTCTCAAAGCGCGACCCAACATGGTTGGATCGGGGCTCAAGGCTAAGGCTGAGTGGAGAAGCACACGGCGTGGGTGCTGGGCAAGGGCAGTGGCTGGGCCTCGGGCTTGGTGTGCTGGGTACCTGACCCCTCGCTGGGCCCCGTGGCTTGCTATTGGAACCTGGGGAGATGTCTATGTGTGCGTGGATCATGAGAGCTGGGACAGGAGGTGCCCAGATGGTTTTGCTGAGGGACATCCCTACCAAGGGGGGTCTTCCCAGGTGGCACAGAGGTAAAGAACCTGCCTGCCAATGCAGAAGATGCGGGAAACCCAGGTTCAATCCCTGGGTTGGGAAGATCCCCTGGAGAAGGGAATGGTAACCCACTCCAGTATTCCTGCCTGGGAAATCCCATGGACAGGGGAGCCTGGAGGGCTGCAGTCCATGGGGTCGCAAAGAGAGATGGCTGAGCTACTGAAGAACAACAAGCTTTTCTGGAGCACTGATGAGTATGCCTCTGCTCACTAGAATCAGTGCGTCCTCACTGGTGGGGACCAGATACTGCTACCAGAACCCTGGCATCTCGTAGACGGCCAGACTCAAAGCAGAAGGGGCTCAGAAAATGTGAATGAATGTGGGTTGAACAGATGCTCGTGGGAACATCCACCCTCCCGTGCAATCTCAGCCCACCCAGAATGGCAGCCCAGTGAGAATCAGACCTGAGACTTTGGCACATCAAGGGGAGTGTCCTGGGAAAAACTTATTTTAGGTGAGGATGGGGAGCCTGAGCTGGGCAGGACCCCTTTGAGAAGGCCTGTGGCTGGCAGAATGAGGGCCATGGCTCCCTCCCCAGGAGGAAGGACACCACATTTCTCAGAGCCGGGGATGGGGCGCATTTTCTAAATTCCCATGCTTGGGAGCCTCTTAGAGGAACCCGCCACCACACAAAGCAGGAGGCACGTCTGTGGCACTGAGACTTTTCTGGACATCAAAGTGTCATTGTCACTTTCAACACAGAGACGTTTTTCTTCCTGCCGCTGTTTCAGCCACATTCCCTGTGTCCATGAGAAGATCCCACACTCAGCTCCACGGCAGAAAGCTGCAGCTCAGAGGCAACACCAAGCGACCATGAGAAAGCCTGGAGCAGCGCGGGGCACCCAGGTGGCCCTGTCCACATGCCTAGTGCAAGAAGTACTTGCTACCAGGCTGGCACCGGATTCCCCACCACCAAGTGTGATCAGCCTGCCTCCCCTGGACACAGGGTGGCAACACCTCAAAGCTGGGACACACCGCTTTATTGTCAAACACCATCCAGAAGACACATTTTTTTCCTGAATTGGGGGAATAAAAAAAATATGAAGACCTGAGAATGACCGCTGTGACTTCTCAGCTTTGATGAAGTGCATTCACCCCATCGGTGACATCAAATGTCATGAGGAATTCTTTTCCTTAATGCTTTTGTTTCGTAAAGGTTTTTATGAGGTTTCCACGGGAAAGTACAGGGTGTCAACTTTCTGGCTGAATTAATTCACCAAATGAATGATGTAAAACTAAACATTTACATCGTTAAAGTCAAGGCCTGATCTGTCTAGTAGGGAGAAATGAAATTTTAACTTCAAAAAGAAGTATCTGTATTATTATGATAATAACAGGTTTAATCTTCATATTAAAACAAATGGTTTGGGCTTGGATGAGAAATAGCTCTGGTTTGGGGGAGGTTCTGAGCCAACCCTCTAGGGCATTTGCTGGAAGGATCTATGGTTCCATCAAAGCCTCGAAGTTTAAAATCTCCCTGCCATGAAACACCTGACCAAAGGCACCTTTGCCAAGTCACCGAGGTTTGTGGAAATGCCTGTTTGCCCATTTGGGCAGCAAGCCTGTGGCCTGGGCACGGTGCCAGGTGGCCATTCCTCGAGCCCTGAGATGCTCTTGCAGGTGACGCTGTGGAGGAATCACCTGTACGTGGGTGGGGAACACTGGACAAGCTGAGACCCATTCTGGCTTCAGGAGGCGAACAGGTACCCTCTACGTGCCCTTCTTTTTTTACCCATGTCCTGGCCAGCTGCTCTGGAGGGCCTGCCTCCCAGGTCTCCCGCCTCCTGGGCTCTTGACCGCCTGCTACCCTGAACTTTCAGACAGCAGCCACGCTGGGCCCACAGCAGGGGCCTCCCTTCCAGTCAGGCTGCGGGTTTCCCCCAGGGCCCCCTGGTTCACAAGGCATTGGCTTCCTCATTTGTCCACTGGGGATGTTCTAAGGCTCTTCTGGCCTCACTGCTGTGATTTCCTTCTACCAGGTGGAAGAGCAGGTGGCCCTGAGCAGGTGAGACTGGGGCTCACCCCCAGCAGGGGAGGCAGTCCCGTGCCCCCAGGGGAACAAGGAGACCAAGGACACCTGGGATGTGTAATCCCAGATGGTCAGAGCAGGGGGGTGGGGGGCACACCTCTGGGACTCACTTTCTAGAGAGGGACCCCGAGGCCCAGAGTGGGGAAGTGACTGCAGGTTAGTTCGAGGGCAAGGATCAGAACTGGGGACTCTGGCTCTGGTCCCCCCACAACACACACACACTGCAGGAGCACACGCCTCTCTCTGGGGAGGGGGATGGGCTATGGCTCTGAGCAGCCTCCGGCACCAGGGAAGGAAGATCCAGCCAGGCAGAAGGCTTGGGCTCAGTCCCTGCCACTCTGGGCGCAGCTGGGACCCAGCAGCCTGGGTCTCACCTGGGAACTGCTGAGACCTGCAGACTCAGAGGCCGTGCCCCAGACCCATGGAATCAGAATCTGCAATATCTCCGTGAGACTCATTCGCAGACCCAAGGGTGACTCCCTCCAGCTCGGCAAGGCATACCTCCTGGATGTGCCCTCCAGTGGGAGACCTCCCAGGGGTGCTGTGGGACGCGTGTGAGGCCCTGTAGCCTCGGGTCTGAGCCACACTCAGTTAATGAGCCTCCTTCAGAGCACGTGGCGAGTGGGCATCAGAAAGGGAAACTGTTTCAGGATTCAAGAGACACTTGTATATGGCTCTCCCCGGCACTCGCACCTTTCTTCTGCCTGGGTCTGCACGGCTGATCATCTCTTGCCAGCAAGCACGATGGCCAGCAGCCAGCCATGTTCAGAACTGTCTGAATGTGGATTTGAAGAGGCCAGTTGTGAAAGATCTTGGAACGTGCGCCCCCAACCCAGTTCTGGTCAGCTGGGGCTGGGTCTGGGAGGAATGGCACGTTGGTTGGTTGCTGGGTGACGGTGAGGCTGCTGCTGCACCGGCCTCAGCAGCAGTACTCCCGCTCGATGCTGGCCATCAGCTCCTCCTCGGAGTAGTCATATGTGATGGCCGACTGCCTCTCGGGCTTCTTGTGGCAGCTGCCTGGGGCCCTGTGGGTGAGAAACACAGACATGGAAAGCAAGATGTTACCTTCAAACTCCACATCTCTACTGGACAACTGCAGTTGCCGTGGATGGAATTCTGATCCATCCTCAAACTCAGACTGAAAAACCTCTGCCCTGGGGACACATCCTCAACCTCTTCCATGAGCAGCTCCTGACTCATTCTTCGGTTTCATCTCCCGCTGTGTAACCCAAGACCTTACCCTGTGAGGAAGCCAGTGACTGCAGTGCTTCAGGGCGAGGGCCCGGGGGTCGAAAGACCTGGTTTGCATCCCAGCTTGGCCACTTACTAGCTTAGTCACAGTTTTCTCTAAAATGGAACTGCATTCCTAAGTTCATTCTGAGGCATAAATGAGACCATGCGTGGACGGCATGTGACCCTGAATCTTGCACCCTGCAGAGCCCTCAGAAAGGTAAGCGGTGTCGAGATTCCCTATCGGCTGACTCACTCCTTGTGTCTGCACCCTCAGGGGCTCTCACAGGAGCTGCCCCTATAGGACAGGATTCGGCGTCGGGGTCCTCTGGATCGTGACCAGGCCCCCCACCCACGGGGCAGTGTATTAAGTGACCAAGTCCTGGCTCCTCGTCCCACTGCTTGGACTCTGGTTCCCACCAGCCTCGACCCGCAGCCCACGACCTCTCCGGCTTTCTGGACTTCGCTGTGACCCCAGACTCCCCTGAGGAGGGAAGTGGCCGGCAGTCCAGACCCTGGGGAGGGCCTGTGTGGCTTCAGAGCCTGCTCCCCGAGGGCACAGCCCTGACCACACCTGCAAAACTCTCCCCTTCCAGTTGCTGTGCCAGGACCTGCCTGGGAGTCACCCAGCCCTGAGCCCAGGGCCTAGGGCGATACTCAGCATGCTCTCACCAAAGTCTATTGAGGGAGTGAATGAATGAATGAAGTACTCCTGGTGAAGGACATCCTGGAATGTACATGTGAGGGGAAGGGACCTATTTGTTTCAAAATAAGAATAAATAGCTAATTCTTTCAAGGCAGAATTTAATCCTCCTAATGTTCTTAGGTTGATGAAAACTGAAAGTCACTGCAAGTTATCTTTACAATCAGTAGAAATACGCAGCTGGGACTGAACAGTGTGGGCACCAGGCTGGGCCCATGTCCCCAGCATCGCCATAGGCACGGGTTTCCAGGTCAGCTGAGCAGAGCTAGCCGCTGGTACCTGGTCACTGCAGTGGGACCCGGCGCCCAGTCCCGTATGGGAGCCCACGGGGCCGAGCCCCCCTGGAGCTGGTGTGCAAGGCACAGCCGGTGCTGTCTGCAGAACGCATGAGGGGCAGGGGGCTGCCAGGGAGGATGGGTAGGGATGCTCCACTCTGCCGAGGGAGGCTCTGGCCTTGGCGGGAGGCTGAGTCAGTGTACAGGTTCTCACCGCTCCACCTCCAGGGCCATGATGGAGGCCCCGTGCCCACCCAGCCTCCTCCTACTTGACAGCAGTGGCCCTGAGGCAGGAAACAGATGGGCCCCCTCCCTATGGTAAAGCAATTGAGATACATTCTCTATGTTCTGAAACTCCAAGACGAGAATAGAAGGGCAATTAAGGGGGGAGGCTGGACCTTGCACAAATCACATATTTCTCATTCCCAAAGTCAGGAGACCTCCCCAACCATACGTGCATAGAAAAGGCTCCTTGGAGGTCAAAAGAGGAGCAATGTCAAGGGATGCTCTACCCAGACACCTTTCCGGTAGGATCCATCTTGGCTAAGAGATACCTGTGCACATATGGGAGGATCCTGAGCTATACAAAATATGGACTGTGAACCAGGCAAATCAGAATGATTGGCCAAAGGAAAATTGGAAGAAAATATCCCATAAAAGTGGAGAAAACATTGGCAATCCACTCCAGTATTCTTGCCTGGAGAGTCCCAGGGACAGAGGAGTCTGGCAGGCTGCAGTCCAGGGGTGGCAAAGAGTCAGATGCAACTAAGCGACTCACACTACACTACTACTACTATTATGTGGAGAAGGAAACGGCAACCCACTCCAGTATTCTTGCCTGGAGAATCCCAGGGACAGAGGAACCTAATGGGCTACAGTCCACAGGATCGCAAAGAGTCGGACACAAATGAACGACTAAACCACCACCACCACCATCCCATAAAAGTAATTCAAACTACTATGAGAGCACCGCTCAGCAACTCGGGGACTATCCCGCTGAGTCCACCCTGTATCTATCTACGGACAGTACTCTTTTCCCTGCTAATAAATACTTTGACTTGCTTCACTACTTTTCGTCTTTGTGGATATTTTTTCCTGCAAAGCTGAAGGGCCAGGGTCCTTGTCACTGACCACTGGTCTAGGGACCAGGATCTGGTGCTCTCAACGCCGTGACCCAACCCATCTCTGGCTGGGAACCCAACCCCGCTCCAAGCTGTTGCAGGCCAGGCCACCCACAGCTCTTGGTTTCAGCCCTCCTTCTCCCCCAGACCCTGTTCTAAATGCCACCAGCCTGTGATCGGGGTCCTGTTCACACCTCCACACCTTGCTCGTGGCTCCGGCCACCTGGAGCGCTCCTGCCCTCCTCGGTGAAACCACTCATCCTCCAAGCCGTTGAAGCCTCAGCTCCTCCATGAGCCCTCTGGCTGCTTCTGTCCACTCTTTGACCTCCGTTGAGCCCATCTGAAGAGACCCCACTCTTCAGGGAAAGGCTTTTGCAAATGTTTGTTAAATAAGGGAAACCAGCAAGGTTCTGGCCCCGCAACCATTTGGAATTGGTAATAAAAATAGCTGTTGAGCCAGCGTTTTCACAGCTTCTCACATCCATGGTCTTGAGCACCACCATCCCCTGCGTCCCAGGGACAAGGGCCATCACGGTGACTCCTTAGAGATGAGAAAGCAAGGCCAGATGGGCTGGGGCCTAGGTCAGCCCAGCCCAGCCTCCGGGTGCAGGGTGCTCTGGGGGCCCTGGGAATCCTCACACAGCCCAGGGCCATGCCGACACCGGAGGCCTGGAGTCCTCAGCTGACACTTTCCAGGGGGTTTAAATGTGTTTTCCTGCTAACACTGAAATAGGATTATTGGGGACCCACCCGTCACCCCTCTAGGCTGGAAAGTCCTGAAGGCCAGGACTGCGCCTCATTCACAGATGAGCACTGCACACAGTTTCTGAGTGAACGAGTGAGGGCAGGAGCAGAGATGCAGGTGCTTGGGGGGTGGCAGGGGAGGGGAGATGTGATTTCTTGCAGAGATGCACCTCCCTGCCCCATACTTACTCAGAGACATGGCTGCCCTCTGGGTGGTCTTCAGCGCTCTGCTTTGGGGACACCTTGAGAAGGACAAACCGAAGAGGCATCAGAAGGTTGTTGGTGCTGCAGCCTGCCTTTGCACTGGCTTCCTGCTGACAGAGAGCCACTGCGTTCAACCCACAGCTAATAAACGAGCGCTGGAAAGTGGAAGGTCTCCCCTAGTGTCTAACTCCAGCTGCCTGTTCTGTAGGTGGGAAGCTGAGGCTGAGGGGAGTGACCCACACAGCTCACACTAAGAGACCCTCCACCCCTTCCTCCCTGGGAGCTACCGACCAGCAAGCCCCACCTCTCACTCTGGGAGTGGAGGTCCTGACCTCCATCCAAGCCCTTGCCTGGCAGCCTGCCCTGCTGCTCTGCTACACCTTGTCTGTCCGGAGTCAGGAGTGCACAGGCGTCGCACACGTCTGTCTGCAGATTCTACCCATGATCTATGCCTGTCCTGTTGCCAGCACCGCCGGGTCTCAGTAACCACAGCTTCAGATGAAGCTGGACTGGTCCTGGTTCTTTGCACTTCTAAACATGTGTGTTGTAGTCAGCTTGTCCCCGTTGGGGTTTTGTTGGGGTTGAATCAATATGCAAATCATTCCAGGCAGACTTGATATCTTTTTTAAAAAAATTGGAGTATAATTGCTTTATAGTGTGGTGTTGGATTCTGCTGTACAATAAAGCGAATCCGCTATAAGTATACATATATCCTCTGCCTCTTGAGCCTCCATCTCCCCCCCACCCCCCCGCCATGTCATCACGGAGCACCAAGCTGAGCTCCCTGGGCCACACAGCAGCTTCCCACCAGCCATCTGTTTTATACATGGCAGTGTATAGATATGGGCTTCCCTGGTGGCTCAGATGGCAAAGAATCTGCCTGCAACGCGGGAAACCTGGGTGCGATCCATGGGTTGGGAAGATCCCCTGGAGGAAGGCATGGCAACCCACTGCAGTATTCTTTCCTGGAGAATCCCATGCACAGAGGAGGCTAGTGGGCTACAGTCCATGGGGTCGCAAAGAGGTGGACACGACTGAGCGACTAAGCACAGAAGCACACAGTGTATATATATCAATGTCACTCTCTCAATTCACCCTGCCCTCTCCTTCCCCCTTCCCTGTGTCATAATCTCTATAATAACAAGCCTTCCAGTTCATAAACAGGGAACATCTCTCCATTTATTTAGGATTTCTTTAATGTCTTTTAAGAAGTCTTAATCATTTTCCCTGGAGAAGTCATAGACACCTCTTTTTAAACCAATTTCTAGATACTTGACAATATCTTTTTTCAAATAAAATTTTATCTTCTACCTGCTTGTTTGTGCAGAGATACAATTGAAACACATACATTTCGTGTTCAGCAGTTTTACTAAGCTTTCTTAATTAGCCCTAATAATTTATTTGTAGATTCTTTTGGACTTAATTTCTTCCCATTCATGTTATGTGGGAATAATTGCCATTCAGTTTTTTTCTTTTCTGATCCTTACATATTTTCCCCCTAGCCTTCCTGCACTGGCTAGGACATCCAGTATTACCTTGAAAAGAAGTCATGGTAATAGGCATCTCTGCCTTGTTCCTGTAGTGAAAGGGAAGGATTTAATTATTTCAAATGTAGTATTAGTTTTGCTGTGGCTTTTTCTCAAGCTGTCTTTCATCAGATCCTGGTCTCTCTGTGCTGGTCATTTCTTCAGCTCTGTCTTCTAGGGCACTGATCTGCTCTAAATCTCTAATTTCCTGTTCACCCAAACCATCAGAATCTTTAATTTTGTTTATTGTATTTTTTATTTCTACAAGCTCTATTTGGTTGTTTTTCAAATATGCTAGGTCACTTTCTATAGGTCCTTCTTCACAAATCATGCATGTGTGCTCAGTAGCTTCAATTGTGTCTGACTCTTTTGCAACCCCACGGACTGCCGCCTGCCAGGTTCCTCTATCCATGGGATTCTCCAGGCAAGAATACTGGAGTGGGTTGTCATGCCCTCCTCAGGGGATCGTCCCATCCCAGGGATGGCACCTGTGTCTCCTGCATCCCCTGCAGTGCAGGTGGATTGTTTAACACTGTTATTTTTGTTCAGTCGCTCAGTTGTGTCCGACTCTCTTTGATGCTATGGACCGCAGCTTGCCAGGCTTCCCTGTTCATCACCATCTCCCCGAGTTTGCTCAAAATCATGTCCATTGAGTTGGTGATGCCATCCAACCATCTCATCCTCTGTCGTCCCCTTCTCCTCCCGTGTTCAATCTTTCCCAACATCAGGGTTTTTTGCAATGAGTCAGTTCTTCGCATCAGGTGGCCAAAGTACTGGAGCTTCAGCTTCAGCATCAGTCCTTCCAATGAATATTCAGGGTTGATTTCCTGTAGGATTTACTGGTTTGGTCTCCCTGCAGTCCGAGGGATTTCTCTCTAGGAAACACACGTACACCCATGGCTGATTCATGTGAATGTATGGCAAAAACCACCACAATATTGTAAACTAATTAGCCTCCAATTAAAACAAATAAATTAAAAAAAAAGATTGCAGAGAGAAATATCAATAACCTCAGAGTGCAGCTGACACCACCCTTGTGGCAGAAAACGAAGAACTAAAGAGGCTCTTGATGAAAGTGAAAGAGGAGAGTGAAAAAGTTGGCTTAAAACTCAACATTAAGAAAACTAAGATCATGGCATCTGGTCTCATCACTTCATGGCATCTGGTCCCATCACCTCATGGGAAATAGATGGGGAAACAGTGAAAACAGTGACAGACTTTATCTTTTTGGGCTCCAAAATTACTGCAGATGGTGACTGCAGCCATGAAATTAAAAGATGCTTGCTCCTTGGAAGAACAGTTATGACCAACCTAGATAGCATATTAAAAAGCAGAGACGTTACTTTGCCAACAAAGGTCTATTTAGTCAAAGCTATGGTTTTTCCAGTAGTCATGGATGGATGTGAGATTTGGACTATAAAAAGAGCTGAGCACTGAAGAATTGATGCTTCTGAACTGTGGTGTTGGAGAAGACTCTTCAGAGTCCCTTGGACTGCAAGGAGATCCAACGAGCCCATTCTAAAGGAAATCAGTTCTGAATATTCATCAGAAGGACCGATGCTTAAGCTGAAGCTCCGGTATTGGCCATCTGATGCGAAGAACTGACTCATTGGAAAAGACCCTGATGCTGGGAAAGACTGAGGGCAGGAGGAGAAGGAGATGACAGAGGATGAGATGGTTGGATGGCATCACCGACTCAATGGACATGAGTTTGAGTAAACTCTGGGAGTTGGTGAGGGACAGGGAGGCCTGGTGTGCTGCAGTACATGGGATCTCAAAAAGTCAGACACGACTGAGCAACTGAACTGCACTGGATGGATTCAGGTATTTTGGACCAGCCAGGTGATGGGAATTGTGGCTGCAGACCTAAGGGACAGCTAGACTGTGGCTTTTGTACCCTCCTGCACTGTTCTGTGCTGTGACACTTGCCTTGCAGTCCTGTGAGGGTCCTGAACGTACGAGCGAAGGATCTACTCTTAGTCTCTATTGTCACTGGGCCCTAAACTCTGTCCCTTTTACTGTTGGACACTGTCAGACCCAAAGCTCACGTTCACCTGAGGCAAGCACAGCCCAATGGGTCGGACACCTGCCTCTCTGGATTCTGCCTTCCTTAGATCTGGGCTGGTAATTCCTCACTGTCTCATGAGCCACTTTATGCTTCAAAGACATTCTTACCACATTAATTATACCCAGAATATTAAACTGTCTTCAGCAGAGGGGCTTGTCTGAATAAGCTTCTTCACCGTGTTCCCCAGTATAAAGCACTTGGCACTATGGAATCCAGTCTTTGACCCGTGAAGCTGAGCAAGGCCATGGCCCATCCAGACGTCAGCCTACTTTGTGCAACAGATCCCCCTTCGCACAAGCAGCATCCTTAATACAGACCGTGGCTGTCAAGAACCCAGTGTTCCAGGAGCCCATAGTGCGTGGGGCAAGTCTCATAAAGATGCAATGTGATGCCACGTGATGAATTCTATAGCCAAGTTATAAGGTGCTGAGAGGTGCTAGGAAAGCCTACACTCTGCAACAGGAGGGGAAACCAACTCTGAATGTGAAAAACTTTTCCGAGAAGAGTGGCAAGAATAACATTTTAGCTGGAGTTTTGAAAGATTAGGAGTTTACCAGATGGAAAGGAAGGGAAGGGTACCCTGGATGAGGAAGAGCATATGCAAATACGTGGAGTCATCAAAGGCCATGAATAAGTCTTCATTCATTAACTCCCTGCTGGGCGCAGGTTCTATTGCCCATACAGGATATGATATCCCTGCCCAGAGCAGCCCACAGCTGGGCTAGAAAAACTAACATGAGGACACAACTAGAGAAAAACCCAGCGCCATTATCATTAACATCAGTTAATCCTCCTCAACAAGAATATCACTTCTCCTAAATTTTACAGATCTCTAAGCAGGGCACACAATAAACATAAAATAGTTCCTGAATCGGATTGAATGTCACTTTGATGGGTAGTCATAATCCTAGGTTTGTCTATATAGCAGTTGGCATAAGAGTAAAAATAGCACAATGCAGAAAAGTGTTCAAGGCACAGTTTTGCCATTTAATCACGATGTGCCTTTGGGTGGACTGTGAGGCTCTGTGAGCCTCAGTTTACTCATCTGTGTAACAGGTACGTAGCCTTGAGGGCCACAGAGAGAAGGCAGATTGTCTGTCTCATCCTTAGTATAATACCTGCAAACACCATGACAAACATCTGACCCAGTGTCCAGCCCAGAGTAGCCTCTGACCCAGCTCAACGAGAAGAGAACCTAAAGGCATGAGAGGAGGAGAGCCCAGGGGAGATCTTGTGTTCGAGGCCTGAGAGGTTCAGGACAGCACTTTCTTCCCTGAGAAACTAGTGTTTCTTGGGAACTGTTACCCGAGGTGGTGAACAGAAGGGAGCTGACCCTGGCTATATCCGGCCACACAGGTCCCGCGGCGTGATCCATGGTGGCCAACCTGCTACTGCGGGCGTCCCATGCCCTGGCTAGAAGAGCCTGCCCTGCCCGCCTGGTGTT